AGGTTTTCATAATTTGATCAGTCAGTGGTTTGTTTGGAGAAATTTTGGGCCACTCCCATTCACATAACTGCCTCAATTTATTGATACTTTAGGAGTGCCTTGCATGAATTTCTCACTTTAGATCATACCATATAGGTCAGTGATGGCGAACCTTTTAGAGAACGAGTGCCCAAACTGCAACCCAAAACCCACTTATTGATTGCCGGGTGCCGAGTGGGTGTGGCCCACTGGGTGGACGTGGCCCAGTGGGCATGGCTATGGTGGCGTGGTCAGGGTGGGCATGGGTGACAGGCAATTAATATGTGTCGCGAAAATTGAGCCATGCATAAAGAAAAAAGAATGATTAATGCAGAAACTGGTAATCAAATCACAAAACCACATCCACTTCTTTGAGATATACCACGATTTCCCCATTGGATGCAAAACAGACATGGAGGACTAATGGCCTTTGGGACAATAAATCTGATGAGTAGCTCACTGTAGAATAAACTTACTACAATTAGTCCTCGACTTACAGCAGTTCATATAGTAACCCTTCAAAGTTACAACGGCACTGAAAATAAAAACGACTTACCATTTTTCACACTGCAACATCCCAGGGTCACGTGATCAAAATTCAGACACTCATCATATTTTTTTTTTTTCAAGAAATTTTATTTATTTTTTCCATCATAAAAAACAAACATAAGTAAACACAATAACCAATCAAAAATCCCCCACCCACCCCCCGGACTTCCCAAACCTAATCCCAGGATAAAATTCATATAAAAGTAAACAAATACTAATATCTCTAACTCCACAAAGTGTCTTAATCTACAAAAAAAAAAAATAAGAACCATAAGCAAACTTAAGAAAAATCTAAAAGCTTAAATTGTATTCTACCACTCTGTGTTTCTTTTGAATATAAACGATCCATCTTCTCCATATTGATAAAAATTGTCCATTCGAGTGATTCTTCAAATAAGCCGAAATCTTTGCCATTTCAGCAAGGTACGAAACTTTCAATCTCCAGTCTCTCATCGTGGGCAGAATTGGGCTCTTCCAATTTTGGGCTATCAATAATCGGGCAGCAGATAAACAGTAAAGCATCAAATTTGTTTCTTTTGCATCTAAATGTTGTACAATACCTAGGAGAAACAACTGTGGAAGGAAAATAATCCTTTTTTTAAAAATCTGCTGTAGGTTCCACCATAATTGTACCCAAAAGGCCTTAATAACCTTACAAGTCCACCACATATGAAAAAAAGTTGCATCTGGATGTCCACACCTCCAACACTTGGATTCATAGTTCGCATAAATACGAGACATAGTTGAAGGGTCCAGGTGCCATCTATAAAACATTTTATAAAAATTCTCACGTAAATTTTGAGCTTGTGTGAACTTCACATTTCTCACCCAGATTAACTCCCAAGTGTCCATAGGTATTGTTTCTCCTATATTTTGAGCCCATTTGATCATACAATCTTTAACTAATTCAGTTTCTGAGTCCAATTCTAATAAAACATTGTATATCCTTTTAATATGCCCTTTGGTACTATCTCTTACTTGCTTCAAAAAAGTCCCATCTTCCATAACAAAAATAGTCTTTTTGTCAATTCGCCATCTATCTTGAATTTGTCTGTACAAAAGCCAAGAGAAATTTGGGTTATTCTGCTTCAAAACTTCTATTGATTTAAGGCACCAATTACCACCACCACTCTGGTATAACAAATCTTTATATGTAAGTCCCTCCATCACCACTCCTCTAGTTATAGCTTGAAAAATATGTGATGGTATCACCCAGAGTGGTAGCTTAACATCAAACTTGAAGAAGTATTTTTGCCAAACTCTTAACAATGCAGCCCTTATTATATGATTTCTAAAGGTTTTATCAATTTTTTTCTGCATAAAAAGATAAGCGTGCCATCCAAAATACAAATCCCATCCTTCAGTGTTCAAAATCCCTTTGTTAGACAAGTTAATCCAATCAGTCATCCACGTTAATGCACAAGAATCATAATAAAGTGTCAAATTTGGTACTTTAAGACCTCCACGTTCTCTGGTATCTTGAATAATCTTAAATTTAACTCTCGCCTTCTTGCCTTCCCAGATAAAACGATTCAAATTTCTTTGCCATTCTTTCAAGTTAATTTCATTTTTTAAAATAGGTATCATCTGAAATAAAAAAAAGAAATCTAGGTAAAATGTTCATTTTAATGGCCGCTATACGACCCAGCAATGAAAGCTGTAGTTTTTTCCACGATGATAAGTCCTTTTGTACCAATTTCCATAATCTTTCATAATTATTCTGGTAGAGTTTCGCGTTGGATGATGACAAAAAAATTCCCAAATATTTAACTTTATTAACCACTTCAAATCCTGACATCTGCATAAGTTGATCTTTATCTCTTGCGGTCATATTCTTTGTAAGAATTTTAGTCTTATTCACATTAATTTTAAGTCCAGCCACTTTACCATATTGGTGTAATTCTTGCAACAAAAATTCCAATGATTTAATTGGTTGAGTTAACGTAAAAACCAAATCATCAGCAAAAGCTTTAAGCTTGTATAGACACTCATCATATTTATCACAGTTGCAGTGTCCCAGAATCATGTGATTACCTTTTGCAACCTTCTGACAAGCAAAGTCAATGGGGAAGCCAGATTCACTTAACAACAGTGTTTCTAACTTTACAACTGCAGTGATTCAGTGAACAGCTGTGGCAAGAAAGGATGCAAAATGGGGCAAAATTCACTTAATGGCTGTCTTGCTTAGCAACAGAGATTTTGGGCTCAACTGTGGTTGTAAATAGAGGACTACCTGTATAATTTTTTTTTTTTACAAAAACTAGTTGCTCACTGATAACCAGAAGACCTGATGAACCAGCAATACAAATGGCAGGTCTTCCTCCACCAAGTCTGATTGCTATCCAGCTTTTCCCAACTTGGATTCTTCCTTCCAGATTTGCTAGGTAGAGAATTCTAGGACTCATCATCCAAGCTCATTTCTTATACTCTTATATTCTTCAAGTAATTGTAAACTTTTGTGCTCAGTTTCTAGTGATATATGTGGTTATTTGGAACTGCTTATTGGTCCTGTATAATTTCTATGTTTAATGGCAGAGTCATCTACAGTATATATATAATATATACATACATACATATGCATACCTATACATATACCTATAATCAGGACTTTAGCTCAGACATTCCAAGCATGCAACATTTCTGCTTCACCTATTCTACATAGAATCATGGTTTGTGCTTTGTGACCTACACACCTTTAGACTGTTTACATCAGTTAAACTTCTGTAAATGGGTAATGTTTTCATGTAAATCTGCCATTTGCACATTCCAACGTTCCTGTACTTTCTTTTTTTTCAAACAACACATCTCATTAAAACCGATTTTTGCCCCATTTATTCAGAGCTTGTTTCCGACAGCCTGCTGGATCATTCAAACCATAGGCAGCATTGTTTTCTATAATAATGGTTTCTGCTTAGTATACTCCCATGCACACTATTCTTGTTCAGGTTTTATGTGGGCTTATGTTCTCTGATACTGGAGAATACAAGAATGATCTAGAGCAGCGATGGCAAACCTTTTAGAGACCGAGTGCCCAAACTGCAACCCAAAACCCACTTATCGCCGGGTGCCAGGTGGGTGTGGCCCACTGGGTGTGCGTGGCTGTGGTGGTCATGGCAGATTGGATGAGTGTGGCCAAGGTGGGTGTGATCACCTCAATGTTGCTCATGGGGAGGGACACCTGTGGGGGTCGGGCAAGGTTGGGGGAGATCCAGGGGGTCTCTGGCAGGTGGGGCGGTGGGCAGGCTTGTCCTGCTGGTTGAGGCAAGGCAAGGCGAGGCAGGGTGGGGGTGCCATTGTCACAGGGCAAGATGAGGCGGGGGCTGGGGCAGCTGCTGCCTGACACCATCAGCCCCTGCACACAGAGGCCAGTCAGTGCATGGGTGCTGGGATGCATCTGGCCATGTGGGACCTCGGTGAGTTAGCGGGCGGCTGGTTGAAGAGGGACGGTTGCCATCTCTGGGGCATGGCACGCGTGCCCACAGAGAGGGCTGAGTGCCGCCTCTGGCACGCGTGCCATAGGTTCGCCACCACTGATCTAGAGATCTTTTGCTTTTACCCTGGTTTGCTACCTCCCAGAATATTGCATATCTTTGGGGGGAGTAATTTTGTCAGATGATCAGTCATGGGAAGAGTTAAGAGTTTCTATACTAATTCAGCATATTTTTTTTACAATTTGTAGACTTTCAGCTTTGTAGACTTCAACAGCATCAGAGAATTTTTCTGAGATCTGTAGATTTTGGTTTTGATAGTGGCATAATTTAGTTTTTAGAGATTTGTGTTGCAAAGAGCAGATAACCAGCATTGCCACAGAAAGGGCAATTCTTCCTAACCTAACTGCCATAAGGCATAATTTAGGGAAAGGGACTAGGAGCATGTCCACCCTATCTGACATAGTAAGATGGATAGCTGTCCTTAGGAAAAGGGTAGGTAACCTGGACCTGTGCCACATAGGATTTGTTTGATTTGTATACTTTCTTCCAGCAGCTGAACATAGTATAGCATTCCCTCAATTGATTCCACAACTCCTCTAAGGCCCCGGATGTAGTCTCTTAGCTACAAATACACAATTATAAATTCACATAGAATCAGTTGCACTATGCAATGTTATTTATAAATTAAAAATGGGTTTTAAGGAGAAGCAGGTAAAATAGCAACTTTGTACTTGATGTTGTCTACAAGATAATTTAGATTTTTAGATGAAACATTATAGTTATATCACTAGAAAAAATATAAGGTTTAGATTCAAGGATTACTAGACTAATTCACTGTTAAAATTTGTAATGTTGCATGCTGAAGCCGTTTATACCACCATTGCCATTTCTGAAACGTTTGTAAGTACAACCCAATAAAAATGCATTTTCAGACACTGAAGTTACTTCCTCTTGAAATGAGTATTTTAATAAAATGACCATAAGCAAGATCTCAGATACCAATAAATAAATGGATTTTTTGTTCATATATTGTCTTGCATGATGTCAACTTGCCAGATGAATCAAAATTTCCACCTAATTTAATTCCACCTCCATTAGAAATCAACTAAGTTAATGTACCACTGAAGATCTAAGTACCAAGTACTTAGCATATCCTTTATGGTAAAAGAATAGGTTTTTACAAGCATATTTGCAGAAACAAAGTTTTTATTATTTACATAAGCAAGTCCATATTTTAACTCTTTACATTTCCAGAATATTTACATGATTTCAAGATACTGATGAACAAAATTACAAAGGCCATCAAAGCATTGCAAAAAAAATAATAATAATCCAACACTGTGCTTTAAAATTTAGGATCTAAAGTAATGTAGAAGAAATGTCAATTTAGCACCTTGGTCAAAATAGTCATGCTATGGTGTTAACATAAGACACTTTTAGTAAGCAGTAGGGATCTCGGAAGTGACTGTGTCCAGAGGTTGCCAATGACAGCTCATAAGTGTGTCAAAAAGTTCTTCACTTCTCACCATAAATTCTCTGTTCATTCTATGAACATCTATGTTGAGTTGTGGATCTATTCAAATAAACAAAAGTCAGTAAGCAAACCACTGGCAGAATTGCTACATTAAAGAAAACCTTTAAATATAATATAAACATGCTGATGCCCTTAAGATGTTATAAGCAATAGACTATCTAAAGAACATGGCCAGTTATGAGAATTGTAGTCCAAATCAACTGAAGATTACCAAATTCCTTGTTCCATTTTAAGTACCAAAACATATTGAATATATTGAACAAAGAAATTTGGGGTACCTGAAACACAAATTTATTATCACTTCATAATAACTTATTCACTTTTTAAGGCACTGTTAGATTTTGTTGTTGTTTTTGTTGCTAAAGACTAATCGGGCTACTTCCGCTAAAAACAATATATTTAGGAACATTTTTAATTATGAGATCATGGAGAAAAGAATGAGAAATCTAAAAACAGTTCTTGTGCCCTGAAAATATTCTGATCTAAAGCGATTTCTAACTAGTTTGTTATCCTGTTCGTCATGTTAATGTGCAAAATTTTTTGATCCAGCAATCAAATTTTCAACTTTCTTCTAAATCATGTACTTCCAGAGAGTATTTCAGTAATTTTCAGAAATAAACCTTCAAACATGAAGTAGTTTAAGGTTCTTCTAAGCTGGTTCTGCTATGAAATAGGTCTATTTCTTCTAAAATATTATGTGTAGAACATCTTAAAGAGTGCTTCCCATTCAGAAGACTTATTTCCAGAAATCCAAAATTGCCTCCCTGTCCCCCATGATTTGGAGGAGATTCAGCATGCACGTATTTAACAGAAAAGATTAAAAAGATGGACTGTAACTAATGCAATACAGTAGCCATCTCCCTGCTGTAGTTCAAATTTCAAAAATGGATTGGTTTTGATTATACTGTTATTACTTCCCCCCCCAAAGCCCTTAGTGGGCTCTATGCAGTGTTACTTAGACCACTATCATTGCTGTAAAGGATAATGAATCTTACTCTTGGAAACCTAAATTGTAAAAAAATATTGTGTAGCTAATGGAGAATGAAATGTTTCTGAAGTATTTTTTTAATGTGCAAAATGAGATAGTTCCTCTAGAACAGGGGTAGTCGAACATTACATTTTTCCTTCATAATGTGTTAATCTATGCAATTGAGGATGTTTTATGACTTGTTGGAAATATACTGCCTGGAGCAAAGAACACCCAGAACACAACTACTTGTTTCAGAAACACCATGAACCAATAAAGAACATACAGATTTGGCCCATCCTGAAACAGGCCACGAGCACTCAAGGAGAAAGCAAGGCACACTGTTTATATATTCTTAATTTGTTAATATAGTTTATTAAGTAAATACAAGTAGTCCTTGCTTGGGGATGGCAACCGGGATTAGGCAATGCATTACAAAGTGACATGGTTATAAGGTATGTCATGTGACTGTGCCAACTTATGACAGTTATAGCAGCCTCAGTTGTCATCATAAAGTGAATCTGACACAGTTGCAGCATTCCATGGTCACACGATCACCCTTTGTGACGTTCTGCTAGCTTTCCCACTGACTTTGCTTTTGGGAAGCTGGCAGTTAAGATCACAAATGGCGATCATGGGATGCTGCAACATTGTAACTGCGAGCTGGTTGCCAAGTATCTGAACTGTGATCACGTGACAGTATGGACACTATGAGGGTTGTAACTACAAGGATTTACATCCCCATCATTCAGTGCCATTGTAACTTTGAATGGTGGCTGCATAAGAAGACATTAAGCAAAGACTACCCGTAAGCACAAATTACCCAGGAAAAATCAGGCTGGCTCATTTCAGAGGAAAATTGGTTTTATACTGCATTAAGCATAATTCAACTATCCATATTTTACTGAAATAAGTAGGCTTATACAAGATAAACAATTATCTCTGGCTTATGCCAAAATAGCTGAATTTACACACAACAATGAAGTGAAATCAAGTAACTTTATGCTAGTATGCCATGTAAACTCAGGCATCACGTGGCAACCTACAATATCTGCTCAATCCACGTGCTCATTTTGATGTTATCAACATTTTAAAGATATTCTTCAGATTACTAGATTTTCAAAGATCTTATCAGAGAAATTATCTGATGATCTAATTCTATATGGCAATACTACTAATATCAACATTACCTTCTGTTATTAGATCATCATTTAAAATCATACCACAGCTATCCTGAAAAAAAGAAAAAGAAAAATTTATCATTTCTTTAAAAAATGTACTTTTTATAGTGAAGAAGACAAGTCCCATACACATTCATTTACACTCTTTCAACGGAGAGGGGACAATTATACATATATGCACATCTCTTGACTTATATGCTCTTCTTGCCTCCTACATATTCAGAGGCATTTCACTTTTATTTTCCATTAATCCTGCCTTCTCACTTTACATGGAACAGGGTGTAGACAAAAAAGAATTCTGATTTACTTCTTTAAAAGCTTTTGAGGCAGAGATTATGGATCCAACCTACTTTAAAAGCCTGACATAGTTTATTTTAAACAAAAAAACTCCAAATCATGCTTAGCAACACAGCAACATTAAGGCAACCATCAATAAACATATTTGGAGGGGGGGGAGAAATATACAAGAGAGAATTTAGATTTGTAAATATATGTTGTGGGTTTAAGTTCCACTGTAAAGTCTTATCACATGAGAAAGCACTTCAGGTGTCTTTGAAATTCAAACATCTTACAGAAATACAGGCCTAAGAACGATTTATCCAGAACCTCTTCAATATCGCCATTTTAAAATTTAATTTATTGCAGTTGAAGACACTGAAAAGCAGCCAACACATTTAAAGCGTTAAAAAAAATACTTATGAACTTGGCATTTCCAGAAATTAAACTTCAGAACTTGTAATTTTCAAGTAGTACCACTCCAACAGGTCTGAAAGGCAAAGGGTCATAAACTCTAATTTGATTTATGTGAATACCTGAAATAAAGCTGGATTCATTGCTTGTTGTCCCCCAGTTCCAGTAGGCTGCATTCTTTCATAAGATCCGTAAGTATAATTATAATCACTATAGTCAGCATTATAATCTGCATATTCAGGATAATCTCCATACTCAGGATAGTCATAGCGTTCACCAAAACGAGAACCAAATCGCTCAGCATAACGTTCAGGAAAACGATCACCAAAATGCTCAGGGTAACGTTCAGAAAAACGATCCCCAAAGCGGCTGCCTCGATCAAAACGGTCAAAACGATCATAGCGATCAAATCGGTCATAGCGTTCATTTCTATCATAATTGTACTGGCGGTAATAGTTTTGATAGTCTTGGTAATAGTCATTATAACTATAGGGCTGGTACCTTTGAAATTCTGCTTTCAGTCTAAAACACAAAAGGAAAATATTAAGTTAGAATTTCTTAAGAGCACTGTTTACAACTGAATAGGGCAAGTCTAGTAAAAACACTGAAAATCCTTTAAAAAAAAAAGCTGCTACAGATATCATTACTGTTACTTCAAATAGCAAAACTCCTACTCTCTCTGTTTCCATATACTTTCAGCCAACTTTGCTTGCACACACATAAGCAAAATTACTAAATGCAAATAAAATTACATATTTAAGAGAATACATCGTGAAAAACATTATACAAGAGGTTCCCAAACTTTCTTGATCCACAGTACCTCTAAAGGTTTCCAAATTGTGCATTGCAGCATCTTGGGATGCCACAGCAAACTAAGAATTCTGTTTATTAAAATATCCCTCAAGACCCTTGGAATTTGCTGTGGTGCCTTGGAATGCAGCAGCAGAGTGTTTTAGAACTATAGTTATATGCTGTATTTTTTTTCTTAAATGAAAAGTATTCATTGAATTTTGGGGACAAAAAGGGCTTTATATTTTGTTTAGGTATACATTGTTTCCTAAATGTAAAAGGTAATCATAGAATTGGTTTAAAATTATTGTGAACATTAGGTATACATTGTTTCCTAAATGTAAAAGGTAATCATAGAATTAGTTTAAAATTATTGTGAACATTAAAAGGGAATAACGAAGTTTGAAAATTCATATGTATAATATATACATAAAAAAAATGTAACAATACTACATTTTTATTTTCATCCAATCAGAATAAAAATAAGCAAGCAAAGAAATTCAGATAGATATCAATATCATTAAAGAAGAGAAGGGAATCAAAGTGGCAGTAGAGCAACTTAAAACATCCAAACCCCTAATGGAACAAGTTATAAACCCTGATTACTTGCATGCATGCTTTGACACAATGTAATTTTGTAAAGAATTAAAGTGTATTAATTCAGTACTTTTTAAACAAAACCAGAAGCTGACCTGCCTATGTACTGACTTGTTTCATAAGAACTGTATTAATAGAAAAGGAAAGCAAAACATTTTGAAAAACATTATTTTTAAGAAATCAAACTCCTTTTGCAATCAGGCACAAATTACAATTTCATAAGAGATTTGAAACCCAAAAGATTTGTTAATTCGCATCAACTACCTTTTAGAAATTCCTAAAGTCAATCGAATTCGTTTTCCACCTAGACCAGGTGCATTCTGACAATCTTGCAGTGCTCTCATCATATCACCTTCATCAGAAAATCTGACAAAGCCATAACCCCTGAGGAGTTTTAAAACACAAACTTTAGTAATACTGCCAAAAAAAGCACTCACAATATTTTACTATCGATTATATTTTCACTGCACTGCTAATGGCTATGTAGATAAGTAGCATTTAAATAGCACATTAATTCTACTAAAGGAAATTTCCTACTACCGATAAACAAAAAATACCATTTAATTGTATCTGATCCTGATTAACATGTGCCCATTTCTACAATATATTCAAACCATTTCAACTACAAGAATCTATTCTTTTATGCATTTTGCATTAAGTTATACAATTATCTCATCGGAGTTCTAAAAAGAAAGCCTCTCAGGTCTGCCACGCATATTGCCATCAAAGGCTGGGGGGAGGAGGGGAACATGGGGTGGGAACAAATGGGCAATCAAACTGCATGTGTGCGTGATGGGAAAATTGGTAGGGGGGAAAGATAGCTTGTTGAGGAGCAGGAGAACTCAGAAAGAGCTTGTGCCAGCAACTAAGGCTGTGTACCCTGAGAAAGAACATAAATTACTCTAAACATCTCAAGTGTTCTCAAAACACCTAGGTGGACTCTTATTGGTTGAAGATGGACTGGTCATGGGAGGAGAGCTGGGATGTGCGGGGACTTTCTGTATTGTTCTGAGCAAGTGCAGGACGTTCCAGGCTGACTTTACTGCAGCCAGCATCTTTCCGTAAAAGAACCTATCGCTTCAACCAAATGGAGTCAAGGATCTTCCTTTCCTAAGAAATCAGACTGGGGCAGGTCTGCAGAGCCTCTTTCTAAAGCATTAACTGATGTAAAGAAGACATCCCAAAATATGTATTTCAATAAAACTGCATCTTTCATTCATATATCACAGTACACCACATAACATTAAAAAAACAAGAATACAGTACAATGCTGATTCAACTATCTCTGCTTGACTTCAAAAAATTTGAGAAAACTCACAATATTTAGGTTTTGATGTGATTTGAGAAATCTGTATTGCATACACACACACACATTTTAATTCATAAATGGGCTACCTGGAATATCCCAGCAGATCTGTGGCCACTTTACAGTCTATACATGATGGATACTTTTTAAAAAAATAGTCATACAGCAAAAAGTCATCCACTTCAGGAGTTAACTCTCCTACAAATATTGCAAATTCAGGCCTGGTAAATTCTGCCCTAACAAATTCTTGCCTTACAAATTCTGGCCTGGAAGAAATTAGAAGAAAAAACATGATTAATCATCTTGCAATGTAAACCTCAGAACCCTGTCTCCACTAGATTACTTTCCAGTGAATATAACCCAGAATACCTACCTAGGAATGATCCAGCCAATACTTGTTTGTCCTTATTCATGGTGCATCACTAGCACCATACACAGGAAAAAAATATCCTGGTCATGTCTGAACAATATTCCTTTTTATTTATTTTTTTAAAAAAGCAACCAGACTGAAGAAATCCACTTAGTCCTATGCAGATAAACTTGGCTAGTGCCAATTTCAGTTACAAGCAGATCATGGATTGTATAATTGGCCTTGCGCTTTCTATAACTCAAAACAGCTTTCCTCAATGCACTTAATCCAAATATTACTACCAATATTTATGAGAGAAGGTACCATTTAAAAAACTTGCTTCTCAACAGTAACTTCAGAATGACCAAACAGTACAAATTTAAAGGTTATTGGGCCATTTAATGAAATTGCATTTTCTTTTAATTAGCTCATTAAGGTTATGGCCTGGTAAATGGATTCATCCATGAAGTTTCTTAAAACTATACAAAAATAATTTGCCACTACCTTCTTCTGGGATTTTTTTTGAATTTTCAAATTTAGCTACAGCTTGAGATTTTCTAATGGCTATGTCATTAAAATATTAAACAGGTTCAACTTTCTCAGTTCAAAATTAGGAAATGAATTTAATCTGAACCCTTTAAAATTAAAAAAAAAGAAAGAAAATTCCCTCCCTACATTTTAAGTTACAAATTCTATATTTGTTTTGCTTATACAAGTGGAACTGTTTGAAACTTTCTACTATCAGCTTGGTAAATATTTTTTATGAGTTATTCAGCACTTGTGTGTCTAACACAAACATGTATTTTTATATTCCCAATTCTAAATTTGTTAAATAAAGACAAAGTGATCAAGTAATAGAAGCATATACAATAAAACCATCCCTTTTATATTCCAGTTTAACCAAACAGTTCTCTAAAACACTGTAATGTTAGGTACTAGTGTTGTTTTGAACCGAACAGTAAACACACACACGTATACATACATTTTAGCTTAATATGTCAGCAAACATACTAAATAATGCCAATTTAATACATACATCCTATCTATATACTCCATTCAGTTGAAGGCTAAATAACAATTAACCTTCAAATAGCTTTATCAATAATTCTCCTGGCAAATATTCAGTAACTAACTTGTAATAGTTTGAACCTAATTAGAAATTACACTCATTTCTGTGACATTAAATAAAACTCCACAGCTTAATTTATGGAAACAAATATGCTTGCCAATATCTTGCAATGACCTTCATTTCTAATTCAGATCCCAACTGTGATGCTAATAATAGGCTTCTTGGCTTTCTAGCATTGGCAAGGCTGTTGTGAATTTTCAGCATGCATCCTCCAAAGTGAAGTTTATATAATGCAGAATGTAGCAAAACCTTCAGTACTGAAGAAAAAAGGTCCAACAGAAAATCATATTTTATGCAACACCAAGAAGGTAAAATTAAGAAACCTTCTGAGAAGCAGTAATCAACCCCAAAGGGCCCAATGCAGCCATCACGCTGAGATGTTCTCCAGATGCTTGTCGAACAATTGCCTAGTGCTTTTTTTTTTACTTACTTCATTTCACATTTTCAGTTCATATCCACTGAACCTTTGAAAGTTGCTAACTAAATTTAACACTTCTGTACAACTGCCTTTTTTATTGTTTTATTTGCTTTTTTTTTTAGCTATGTGATGAGCAGCTTTTCAATTCACAAAGCTTTAAAAAGAATCTGAGGACAATTGAGTGTGTTGGTTCTGATTAACTTCTCACTACTTGATTTAGGTATTATATAGAGACAAGAGCCAGTTTTTTTCTTGTCAGTTTCAAGATTTCTTCACCTGCTTGGAATACTAGTAAAATCTGGTCTTCCTGCTCTTGCTTTACTCTTTTTCTTCCGTTTTTTGTGGGGGGATCTCCACCACAGAGGCAGGCTTTCTTTTTTGGCCTTTCCCACTGTATCCTGCTAGAATGAAAAACAGTTATACAGTATTTCATCTCAATTAAATGCCTCCCTCCCTCTCCCGATCACCACCTCGGTGATTTCCCCATATTCACCTTTCCCTTGACAGAAGCCTGGGGTCCCATCTCTCCCTCCGCCTCCCATGAGGGAAAGCAGCCTCTGGGGAAAATGCCTGGCAAAAATAACAGAGCCAAAGGATTGTATGAAAAGCCATATTCCCCTGACTTAGTCAAGCTGGCTATCGGAGTTACTGCTTTTCACGCCAACATTTTGACTCCCTCGGCTTCCTTCATTTAAAAAAAAGGTTAATCATTAGAGGCTGACTGAGCACGTCATTTAAGAGTTCTTTTACAAAAGGACCCTGCTTAAGAGGAACTACAGCAGAATAAGATGCGGAGCCGGGTCACTTTCTGTTTATTTAAACACAGAAAATGGACTTTGGGCTCTTCTGTTGTAGGCTGTTGGCCAGTCTCAAGGAAATTGTCTGGAATAAGTCTAAAGCACAGCCGAAGGAACTCATGTCTGGTTTTCACAACAGTAACATGCAAGTGACAAAAGTGTCACATTAAAAAATAAAAATAAAAAAATAAAAGCCAGCAGAGGCAACTATATGGGAAAAGGGAAGGAGGCAGTAACCACAGGCAGACGGTAAATCTCACCTCGGGGATACAGATTGAACATTTTTGTTAAGTTTTACTTACATGAATGGTAGCAGTTCCAATGAAGGCATCCTAAATAGTGAGTGTTATAGGAAAGTCCCACCACAAGAACTCACTGTGCAATAGTGCAGAAAGCAAAGTTTCCTGTTCTGTCCCCAAGCTGCTTCAGTTGGCGTGATTTAAGGATTTCACAGCAGGGGAGAACAATTCGTCAGAAATTTATCTGAGGGAAGTATATGGCTAAAAACCCATCATCCCTTCCCAAGGAGTACTGGGTTCAAGCTTGCCATTTGTCAAGAATTCGGGACAAGATTGTGCTTCCCCCCAAATTAGCTACTAATGCAACCGCATTTCTATCAAATTATCTTACCTGGCTAGTCATTGTAAAAAGCTATCTTCGCAAGAAGTCTGTAGTAGCTGCTTTTTCGGATGCTGTATTTAAAAAGAGAGAGAAGGTTTTGTGTAAATAAGCCACAGATACACATTTTTGTGATGTTATTTACAGATCAGCAGAAGACTGAGAGCCACCCTCAATGTTCATTATGTCACTGTACCAGAAACCACCACAATGCTCTATACCACAGATGTCTTGCTTCCTCTGATTTTGTTCCCCTCAGTAAAGAAAGGTTTTATTGTTTCTATTTGTGGAATTCATTTTTCCAGTTCTAATTAAAATGTGCCATCCTGAAATAGAAATTATTGACACTAGGAAGTAAAGTCAGGGAGAAAATATTTAATGATGCTCTCCCTTATACAGGTAAAATAAGGGTATGCAAAATAGCACTGTTCACAATAGTACAGTATTTCCTTACGACAGGCCAATCTGTACAACTTGGGAATACGTACATTTCTAGAAATGTTAGATCTGGAACAGAAAGTGACAATATACTTCCGTAACTGTTTTGGGACGGAGACAGAACATTACAAAGACAGAATATTCCATGTCGTCCATAAGTAGTTAAAATAACTTTGAATACTGATTTTTCTTAAGATATAGAAGATCTATCTATCTATCTATCTATCTATCTATCTATCTATCTATCTATCTATCTATCTATCTATCTATCTATCTATCTATCTATCTATCTATCACACAAGAAGATGGCCATTCACACACATCAAGCTATTCCAAAAAAATCTCCCCATCCTTTGAAGCAAATATAGAGATGGAAGAAGGGCAAACAGAAGAACATCAGTCAACTTGTAGATGGCATCTTGATGACACAACCCAAAAAAGTATACAGGAACTATACACTATTAAATTTTGAAGTCTTACATTTTGAACTGGTCTGATTATAAACATTTATTTGTATCCCACCTTTATTATTTTTGCAAATAACTCAAGGCATGAACATATCCAAGGTATCTTCCTCCTCCTATTTTCCCCACAACAACCCTTGAAAATAAGTGACTGGAGCAAAGTCACCCAGCTGGCTTTCATGATTATGGTAGGATTTGAATTCAGTTACTTTCTAACTTGGTGCCTTAACCATACATCAAACTGGCTTTCATAAACATAATGAACTACATCTTTTCCCCTTATCTTTAATTTTTATTAAATTATAATATAATAAGGGCTTATTCATTGCAACTGGTCCCGACATGGTAGCATTTGAATTCATGGAATGCATTCTGCTATTCGTTCTTTTTGGTAGAATTGTTTAATCAGTTGAATTCATTCTAAAAGTTAATTGTCAAAAATGAGTCAATAAATAAGAAGCTTGTAGCTGCTTAAAAACGAATTTAACATCATGGGAATTCTCATTTATCACAACCAACATACTATGCCATCTCAAGAGACATTCTACATAATGTAGCCTTGTCTTAATTTTTAAAGTACTAAAATGCAATCATGATATATTTCATCATGAACGTAACTATTATGTTAACATATCATAGCATCACAATTATGCAGTAAAAGAGGTTATTGTCATTTTGGTAGGACAAACCAGTACCAGGGAAGTACTCCATTTTGCAAAATTATAGTGCAACTGGACATTTTCCTTGTGTTGAAAAGAATCATGCAATATTTCATAAAAACAATTTCAATTGGCGCTAAGAATAATGCAGTTTGCTTGAACAGTAACTAGCAAACTGCTAAGAATATAGGTAGTCCTCAACTTACAACCATAATTGAGCCCAAAATTTATGTTGCTAAGTGAGACATTTATGTGAGTTTTGCCCCATTTTATGACCTTTCTTGCCACAGTTGTTAAGTGAACCACTGCAACTGTTAAGTTAGTCACACATTTGTTAAAGTAAATCTGGCTTCTCCATTGATTTTGCTCGTCAGAAATTCACAAAAGGGGATCACATGATATTGGGAGACGGCAACGGTCATAAATATGAGTCAATTGCCAAGCATCTGAATTTTGATCATGAAACCAGGGGGATGGCACAATGCTTGTAAGTGTGAAAAATGGTCATAATTCACTTTCTTCAGTGCCGTTGTAACTTTGAACGGTCACTACATGATCTGTGGTAAGTCAAGGAATACCTGTAATAGTTTTCTAGTTACAGTTACAACTGTCTACTATAACTCACTGTTCTTTATTGTAGTGTTATTTAAAAACAAAGAGTTTAAGAATTTAACAGCAGTCCTAATACCTCAAACTAAGTATCAGTGCAGGTAGTCCCTTTTTGATGACCATTCATTTAGTGAGCAAAATTATGACACTGAACAAATGGTAGTTAAAGCTGTTCCAGCGCCCTTGGGGGTCATGTGCTCAAAATATAGGTGCTTAGCAGCCCATGTGCATTTACAACTGCACTTGAACTCCCCCCAACCTGTGTCCTACAATCTCTGCACTCCCCCCCCCCCCATCTTCAACTGTATTCTTCCTCCCACTGCTGGCAAGGCATGCCCAAAGTAGCTGCTGGCTTTCATGCAGCTCCCCTTCAGCAGCTGGAGAAAGATAGCAGTGAAGATCAGGAGTAGTCGCATGGGAAGGTACCAGAGTGCAGGGCAACCAAAAGACAGGTGGTGGTGGTGGGGGGCGGTAGGAAATGGAGGCTAGAGCAGCAGGGCAGGAGAAGGATGAGGTCCTGGACTAAACTGTACCACCAGAACTGTTGTCTCTAAGCAGTGCAGTCATATTTCACTTAACTGCTTCATTTAGCAACAGAAATTCCAAACTCAATTAGGGTCATGAATAATGAGGGCCATGCTTTCTATAAAAACACTAAATTCTGAACCAAATTGTAATTCTGTATCGTCTTCGTTTCATATACAGTCCCCAAATAAGGATTTAATATCTAACCTAAATACATTGAAGTATACAAAAATCCATTTACAATAAAACTGCAGTTCATAAAATATAAAATTATAACTGAGATCTATTTTCTCCAGGTAAGGGCAGCTTGGTATTGGTTCATTAAACAGAAATGGTAAAAGCTATTTTCAGTTTTTTTTTAAAAAAATCAGTTTCATCAGCAAGCAGTGCCAGTTACAAAACTACTGCTTCACAGTACTATCTTCCCCCATACCCAGATAAGTCAAATAATGTGGATTTGTAAAATTCACCAAAGCAATCCAGTTACATATTATACTAAGCATAAACTCTGTCTACATTAGAAAATTGTGTGTGTGTGGGGGGGAATTAAAGGAAAAAAATGAATGACCAAATCTGTAGATTTCAATACTAATACAAACAAATCCAATTACAAGGATACTGTCAACAGATTAATAATATTTTAAGAAATATTTGCTCTGCAAGTAGGTATTCACATTTTATAAACACAACTTCTGCTACTTTACTTACCGGTGAGTGTCAAATGTACAAACTTAAAAAATTTAAAAAAAAATAGCTGCAGAAGGTGGCAAGTACCAGAACAAGGTGAGATCTTGCCTCTATAGTTACTTTAATCATCTAAACTGAAGTAACAGCAGTACTTTTTCTCCCTCTAAGGTTGTTCAAGAACTTGTGATTTCACTGCAATAAAAAGAAATAGTATAAGAATTAGAAAAAAACTGTTTCATAACACAACCTGTACTGAACTTAATAGGTAAAAATAGATTATAATAAATATTTGGACATCTGGTTCAAACAGCAACCTTAATAGGATTTGGTTTTGGTTTAGCAAAGGGACAGACTTTTTTGTGACCATGTCACCTTCCAATGTCTGTAGAAAGTACAGCTGGTGGTGCCACAATCTCACTGGAAAATGCCAACCCAAAATCTTTTTTCAAGCATTCAAGATTAAACGCTTTAATCTTTTCTTTTTTAAATCTGCCAAATTTCAAATACCTTTAAATACAAATCCCCAAAACATGGTGGAAAATAGAAGTGGCTATTTTTCATTCTTTTTAAATTAGAAAATCATTGGAGTGTGACTTTTTCACAATCTGAGAAAAACAGGCCTGACTTCTAAATGGTTGCTTTTCATTTCTGCATTTCTATTTTTAGTTTTTAAATATTTAATTTAAAACTACAGAAAGAGGGGTTTTTTTTTTAAAGATGGAAGTGCCCTTATTACTCTCTCTCTCTCTGATCAAGCCCTCTTGTTATTTTTAATCTACCAACATTTTCTTTTTGAATATGGAATTATGAGGGGGGGGGGGGAGAGAACCTTCACCACCAATGGAGCTATGCCTACTTAACACCAGGTAAAAGTGAAAATGCTATTTTTTAAATATAGCAACAGTTGTGCTACTAAGCTTCGTTGTCGGGAAATAAACATCGATAATTTCAATAAAGCTTACTTTGAAATACCGACGTTGAAGATTTCAATCTTTAAGTGAGGAAACTTAGGAAACTGACCAGTTGGGAGGGTTTTTTTTTTAAAAAAAATGGGAATTCAGAGGCCTGTGCGCACGCGCGTACGTAACCATGAACATATTAGCACATACATGTGAACAACGTATTCATATGCCATCAGACTGTGACCCCGTTCGTATCCCAGTTATCAATAGAAGCAGCTCCAAAAGGTCTATCCAGGCTTATTCCACAGGCTGCTTTAAATGCACTCAAAAGGAAGAGGAGAAAAGGCACCAGCGCGTGCTAGGCCTCCCTATTGGGGGCGGGGCAGAGCTCACGCGGCGCTTAGCGGAAAAAAAGCGAGGAAAAGATTCGGAACCACGAGTGTCTTAATACTCCTTGTCCGTGAGGCGAAGGACCCCGTCCCTTTCCTCTCAAACCCCGAATTACTAACATCACCTTCCGGGCAGCCGCCATCACCAGCCGTTTGGAGATCGCAACGCTCCCTTCCGCCGCCGTCGGCCTCCCCTCCCCCCGTCTTCCCTCCCCCCCTCCACGGACTTCCGCCCCGGGTTGGGTTGTCTGCGCGACTGCCTGTTTCCATTTCTTCAATTTTCTTTCTTTTTTTTTTTTAACAAATCGTTCCCGCCTCTCCCCCGCTCCCAAACGGCGGAAGAAATTAAAAGATTCAGACTGGAAACAGGGCTCCTCGTCTCAGGCGGTAGAGTAGACACCCCCTTCCCGAGACCAAACGGACAGGCGGCTAGCAGGCCGCGGTACAACTCAAGCCAGAAAAGGACCCCCACACTAGTAGGCGTCGCTAAGGAAGGCCAAGAAATGGAGGTGCTGGGGGGATGTTACGAACAGATTCTGTTCGGGTTCTCCATACAACCGGCCGAGGTAAGATTTAAATAAGAGAAGGGGGGGGACGTAGAAAAGGCGCGAGTTAAGTTGGCTAACGGGTCCTAATACTCACCACGAGGGCCGCACGCTGCGCACAGCGACGCCGAAGTTGCGAGCTATCAGCGCGCGCAAGGGGCAGGGGAAGCGCGTGGGCTCGCTTCGTCTTGCTCAGTTTCCTTCCCAGAAGCCTCGGCGGCGTTGGCTCGTGCTCAGCTCCGCCTCGTGAGCGCCGTGCGTCGTCGCGGGGCGGAGAAAATGGAACGTTCCCGCGCAGTCGGCCGGAAACGTTTTCCCTATGGCTCGTCTCGCCTCTCCTTCCGGGCGGCGAGCGTGCTTGGCGACGTCGTCCGCGGCAGTTTATTTTTTTATTTTTTTTTTTAAATGCGATGTCGGCTTTTAGATTACACCAGCTTCATAGAGGGGTGGCTAAAGAGAGTTTGATAGAGGTTAAGTTAAGGCCTCCGATCTTGGCGGTTGTAAGCAACGGTTTTTCCAACCTCGTGCTCTCCATAACCGGAAGAAACCCCAAACTTGGGTTCCCGATTTAACATGGCCGAAGTTTTAGGGACGTCTGCCGGGAAGCAATTAACGTGAGGGTTATTGCTTCCGCGGAGCTCTTGGTAGAAGGAAGCAATATTTTCCCCCTTTTATTGTAGTACTATAAATGTTGGTACCGTACGTTGTATGATTTCAATGTGGTAATGTTTCTATAGTAAAATTATTGGAGTTGTACTTTAAAAGTTTAAAATACTGAAAATAGAAAAGTAAAAATTCTATCTGTTAATTGCCATTTAGAACAGTGTTTCTCAACCTTGACAATTTTAAGGTATGTGGACTTCAACTCCCAGAATTCCACAGCCAGCATTGCTGGCTGTGGAATTCTGGGAGTTGAAGTCCACATGCCTTAAAATTGTCAAGGTTGAGAAACACTGATTTAGAATCTCAGTGTTTTAAGCATCCAAAGTTGAACACTATCATTAAAAAAGCCCACTGCAGTTTATATCATATTAGTTGTATAATAGTATTAGTCTTGAACTAATTTCTTAATAGTAAGACTTCCATTGTAATGTTATTTAACGTGTGTGTGTCTAAAGGAAGCGAAATTTAGCATGTAATGTAGCAGGACTTTTCCTGTATTCTTCTTTTATTAGGTTTGCATAGCCTCCAAAGTGGAAAGAGTCAAGGCAGCTTACATTAAAACTCAGTAAAAGTAATCAATCAGAGAAATATAAACCTATTGATTTGCCATCCCTACACCATTACAAATAGAGTAGTGTAGCCTGAGGGGGAATCTGTTCATGTAATGGATACAAAAGAAATCAATGCATTTGAAGTTGGCTTTTTAGTCTAGAAAAGCTGTTGGTATGCTTCATTTTTTTGTATATTTAAAAGTGAAATTTGATTGCCTGAAGTGAAATTAAGAAATGAGCCTTTAAAAAGTAAATAATGGATTTTGTAGAAAAAAATTGTGGAACAAAAATGTCAGTGGTCTACATAAAACAACATCCTTTAGTTATGGAGAGGCCCTTCATCTGGAAATCGCTAACAAAATCCAGTATTTTGGAAAATAAACGTGTCACAAGCTTTCGTTTTGTGGAAATACATTAGATTACATAGATACCATTCTAACTGAAATTAGTTGTAAAGTCCAGAGGCCATGTAATAGATATCTAAGCCCACTAGCTATAATTGTAATAATTGACAATAATAACTGCTGCTAATTGAAGTAGATGGAATTGGTTTCTGATCAATAGGAAAAGACTGAGTGTATCATGATTTGGTTAATGAGATCTGTTTTTTTCTTTTAAACTGAAAATGCCTGTCCCTATAAAGCAGGGGTTCCCAACCACGGGTGCTCGCACCCCCTGGGGGTGCGAAACAATATTCCAGGGGGTGCGAAAACTTGGGTTTTCAAAATTATATGCATAATTAATTGCCGTTGTCTTGAACTTTTGTAAGGGGTGCAAGAATATATCAGAAGCGTTCTAGGGGCTCAGGGTATAGAAAAGGTTGGGAACCACTGCTATAAAGTATAGATAGTTTGCAACCACATAGCAGGGTAATCTACTGTAATAGCCTACTACTTCAAAGCATTTGATTTCTAAAGATATGATTTCTATTTTAACAATTCTACTAATTTATACTAAGGTAAATCTATCCTTTATTTTGAAGAAGAAACTTAAAACTTAGTACTGAATGTTTACATTCAAGCATTCAACAAAACGTTTAATGAGCATTTGGAAGATGTGATGCTAAGTATGCTAGATGAGGATCTGTGCAGATAAATGCTTTTCAACAAGTTTTTACTTTGTTTTTAAAAACAGTACACTGGAATGTTATAGGAAAATCACAGTAGCTGATTTGACTGATTTTTAAATAAATCTTAGTCTTGATATTTTTTGTTTTCAGAACTGGGCAGTTGCTCCCGATTTTACTCATCATGCACACAGTGCTTCACTGTCAGCAGTAGCTGTGAATGAAAGATATGTAGTCACTGGGAGCAAGGATGAAACTATACAAATCTATGACATGAAAAAGAAGGTAGAACATGGAACATTGGTACATCACAATGGTAAGGAGTTCATCTTTCTTTTATGTCAGAACCCATATTCTAAGGGAGCTCTTTCTAACTTTAATTCTAACTCTAATCTTTCTGCACTTCTGGGTTTTGCCATGCTCCTGGAGGGGAGGGAGGAAACACTGCGGGCTATTTCTTTGTTTTCCTCTATCGCTACACTGTAACACTTTTGCTGTTTCCCCACACACGCTCTTTGAACTATCTTTCCCCCTTGGTGTCAGCTTGAAAGGGGGGGGGGAGAAAGGAATGTGCGTCTGGCAACTGGTTTATCTCTGCTTTTGGAAGGGAAGGTGCAGAAGACTCAACAAAACATTGCTGCAACCCTGAGACAGCCTGGCGTTATCAGCTCTTTCCCACAACGGACTTAACACCTGGGGATTGGCCCATTCGAACTGACCGGATGAACTATTGGGGTGGGGTTTGCTTGGGACACTTTTAATCTATTGATCGGGGACCCCCCAGATCCTGTCTATTATGCCTGCTATCAGCTTCTCCTAATAAAAGTTCCTTTTGGAAGAAACTGCTTCCATGAGTTCTGCTTTCTTAGGATGAGGTATTGAAGTGGGCCCTGACAGTTAAGTTGGATAAGTGAGGCATAGTTCTCAGCAGGATTGCAGTATGGTGAAAACTCATTTTGAGGAGAAGTGTCTGTTTTTCACAAATGTGTGAAATTAAATGGCATATTACTTGTGGAGCTATGNGAGCTATGTCACTTGCATAATCACATTATTATAAAAATGTAAATCGTCTCACTTGCTTTTAATTTATGTCATTTGTCTAATGTTGATATGCAGTTCCATTTAATTTCATTGGCAGATGGAACTATTAAGTTAATGGTTAAGGTATCAGATTAGAAATCAGGGAACCATGAGTTCTAGTCCTGCCTTAGGCATGAAAACCAGCTCAGTGACTTTGGGCCAGTCATTCTTTCTCAACCTAACTCACTTCACAGGATGGTTGTGGAAAAATAGGAAGAGGAAAGCATATTAGATATGTTCACCACCTCGAGTTATTTATATAAAAAAATAAAGGCAGGATAATAAAATTTAAAAGCATGGCAAGACATTCTGTAAATTTGTAGGGATATATAAATTATGATCTTGCTATAAAACCATTTTGAAATATTCTCCATTTTAAACCAAAAAGCTTGAATAGAACTGTTCTCGTTAACTTTCAGGCACTGTAACCTGCTTGGAATTCTATGGGAGTGCTCATCTATTGAGTGGAGCTGAAGATGGTCTCATATGTATTTGGAATACAAAAAAATGGGAATGCTTGAAGTCAATTCAAGCCCACAAGTATGTTCCCCTTTCTCTTATAATTATATAATAATTTGGATTCATAGCTATGTAAGCAAAGTCCTATTTCCACAATAGTGCTTGTTTGCCCCTGTCTGAAAAAGTATTCAAGAGATTGTGTATGGAGATTCTCAATCATCTAGGTCGGGTCCCCAACCTGTGGGCCATGGCCCACTACCAGGCTGCAGCCGCTTGGCCACCGGGCCGCATGAAAGGATGGCCAGTGCACATGCACAGTCACGTGCACTCACACCTCCTACACTCGCGCTAGCAGCAAACGTCCCACCGATGCTACTGCTGCCCCACCCCAAGCGTCCCACTAATGCTAGCACCGCCCCGCCCCCGTGCGTACTGCCAGCGCTAGTGTCACCCCGCCCCGAGTTTCGCACCGCTGGTAGCGTCACCCTGCCCCCGAGCGTCCCGCCGGCGCTAGCATCCCCCCGCTGCCGAGCGGGGCAGTACATGAAATCACGCCCTTCCGGTCTGCAGAAAAAATGCTCTCCACGGAACTGGTCTCTGGTGCTCAAAAGGTTGGGGACCTCTGATCTAGCTCATAGCTATCCCAAAGGTGCTTTTTTATAACGTAATTGGACTTTCTTTTTTTTATTTGAAAATGTTTTGCTTCTCATCCAAGAAGCTTCTTCAGCTCTGAATAAGCTCTTAAAAAAAGAACAACTAAAGTCCAGTTCCCTTGTGAAAAAGCACCTTTGGGATAATCAAGAGATTCGGGATTCTCCAGAATGATATAGTATGCAGTGGGGGAAAAATGAAGTACATGATGAAAACTAAATTCCCCATCTCTTGCTTTAAACCTCTTTTTCATTTATTTATTATATTTCTTCTTCATGACCAAAGTTTCTATTGATTTTATATATAATACACACACACACACACATACATACACACACACATACATATATATATATATATGCATATATATACATATATGTATATACATATATACACATATATATACAGTATGTATGTATGTGTGTGTATGTGTGTGTATATATATATATATACACACAGACACACACATATATATGTATTTCAGAAACAATAAAAATATAGTATAAAACACAGAGAACAGAGATAAAAGGTAACAAAAACTTAAGAACCTAACCAATATTTTTTGTTAAAATCAAAATGATCTCTAAATATTGGAGAAGGAAACTACCTGTAATTACAATTGCTAGAAATTAATATCTTACTTTCTGCCATCAAGACTGACAGGTAAGGTCTAACGTAAGCTTAATATAATATTTATATTTACTCGTGGATCATATTATGATTGAATATATTGATAATGGTCTCTTTGTATTAAAACTCTTGATGCTTTTTATGTATTAGGGGCCATGTGACATCTCTTTCTATTCATCCTTCTGGAAAGTTGGCTTTATCAGTAGGAACAGACAAAACATTAAGGTATGTCATAAGACTGCAAATGGCCTTTGTTTTATTTAAGATAATGCTATTTTTTATAACTTCAAAGCAATTAGCTGTTCCAAGCTGTGAGAATAAATATCAGAGATATTGTTATCGCTAAACAAGTTAACAAATTTATAAGATATATAAGTATTGAGTTGGTTCTTGCCTTACCTTGGGTGCTACTTCCTTTTCCTTATGACATCCCTTCATGCGTCAGAAGGTTGCTATCCTATATCCCTTGGTCTTTTTTTTTTTCTTCTTTAAGCTAAACATACCAAGTTGCTTTAACC